TCCAGGTTCATCCTACATCACGCACTGTTTGTTTCTAGCCAAATACAGCAGTTCCCTGGAGCCGCCACAGACTCTCCACAGATCTCTGCTTTGGCTTGTCTATACTACTCATCCAACACACACTCACGCAATGTCTGCCGTGTGCCAGGCTCTTGCAGGGTCTTGGATCCTTGAGTGAACCCTTCATTGTTTCTTCTTGACTGTCGTCTCCCTCCACAAGCTGCCCTCTTCTCTATACACTGCCTCAGGCTGGGCTTTGAAATCTAACACAAGTGCTCCCTTCATGCACTCACTGTACCAACGCTAGCTGAACACTTCCTGCCTGCAGGGTCCTGGCTTAGGCAGTCAGGGCACAATGCTCGTATTCATCGTGTGGTCTGGTGGGGACATGGACAAGCAAAGGGACCAAAATGAACCATGTGAAATGGAGAGGAGGCGATGTTTCACATATGTCTTCCCCTCACAGTACACAAGCAGGACAGCTGTGCTTCACGGGAGGGGACCAGGCAGAATGCTAGCCTTCCCAAGTCCTGTCACCCCAAGAATGTATTGAGTCACCATTTCATCGCCTGTCCTACAATCACAGGATATTTGTTGATCTTATTGTTGTCTCTGCAGCCACTACGGCCAGCAGAGTACTGATCCTCCTCGGGAGGCAAGAATGTAGTTCAGTTCAATACAGCTATGCAGCTAGTGCTGGCCCAAACTTCAGGAGTCTGACCCGGAGTGGTTTATTTTAGGCACATTTAAGCACAGCACAATTTGGTGAAACTTTCCTGGTGATAAACAACTCAATCTCATGTGCACAATAAAGCAGACATAAATTTCCTTGAGGAACAAAGTACATTAAATAAAGATCAGACAAGCGTACATCTTTGTAAAGTACATGGGACACCTTCATAAAGATGGGTTCTGTAGATTGACTCAGGAGAAACAAGCTCACATAAGGGTCTGGCAGGAGGATCCAGCGTGTGGTCTCAGCCACACAGCACGAAGATCACCAGGGTATTAACCACATCTGCTCCCAGCCTTCTGGGCAGATAACAGGTTATGTATCTCTTCCTTTGAAGGAACAATCCTGTGTGTGTTTAACATTCCAGGTTCCCCTAGCGCTTATCTGTGAGCACAAAGACTATAGGAGAAATAGATGAAAAAAGGAGAACAGATGTTCAGGGAGGTGGGAATACATTGAGTGCAGAACATGCCCTTAAGCAACTTTGTAAAACAGAGATTATGTGGGTGCACATGTGTGCATACAACACCACATGCATATGAAGACCAGAGAACACCTTCTGGGAGTTTGTTCTTTCAACCTTGTGCGCCCTGGGCCCTGAAAGGTCTCAGATCATCAGATTATGAAGCAAATGCCTTTACCTGCCAAGCTACCTCAGAGGCCAACACTGCCATCAGTTTTGATGATAGATGGGCAGAGGTCCTGAGTTCAATTCCCAGCAACTACATGGTGGCTCACAACCATGTGTAATGAGATCTGGTGCCCTCTTCTGGCCCGCAAGCATACATGTAGGCAGAACACTGTATACATAATAAATAAATAAATCTTTTAAAAAAATTGATGATAGACGATTGACATTGACATACATAGTTTATAGTGTGTAATATTTGCTTGTTTTTCTCTATTTTTCCTTTATTAAAGACAGCTGGTTAAATGAATTAACTTTTATATCTGTAGCTCTGAAATGAGAGTGGGGAGAGAGAGCATTTACTGTCCGACAATATGTCCAGATTTTGAGTCATCACTTTTCAGAAGCAGAGAACAGGGAATGCCTGATTTTGACTGGAAACGTCTTTGACAAGGGAGGTGACCTTTGGACTGGAGGCAGGAGCTGATACAGAGACCACAGAGGAGTACTGCTTACAGGCTTGTTTCTTATATCTTCTAGGACCACCAGCCCAGGAGTGGCCCCATCCACAATGGGCTGGGCCCTCCCCCATCAATCACTATTTAGGAAGATGCCGCAAGGCTTACCTACAGCTTGATCCCATTGAAACTCCTTCTTCTCCTATGACTCCGGCTTGTGTCAAGTTGACATGAAACTAGCCTGCCCAACACCTGTCTGGGTTCTTTTTTTTTTTTTTTTTTTGGTTTTCTGAGACAGGGTTTCTCTGTGTAGCTTTGGAGCCTGTCCTGGAACTCACTCTGTAGCCCAGGCTGGCCTCGAACTCACAGAGATCTGCCTGCCTCTGCCTCCCGAGTGCTGGGATTTGTCTGGGTTCTTTTGAGACAGGCTCTCTCTACATTGTGTTTGCTGGCCTCAAACCCTGAGAGACCCCTCTGCTTCTGCCTCCCAAGTGCTAGGATTAAAGATGTACACTCCCACACCCAGCCAGTTTCCTGTGCATTTGTCTGTCTTCACTTGAGTCAAAGGTGTTGGGGCTGGAGTGATGACGGAGTGGTTAAGAGTATGTACTGCTCTTGCAGACGTCTTGAGTCCAGTTCTCAGCAGACAGTGTATGCTGTGAATGTTTATTCATTCAAATTTTTGCTACTCTATGCTAGTTTCTGAACATTTGTTTGCATTATATTTTTTTAAAACCTATTACAGTCCATGAACTTTCTGATTACTTGAGGTACTAGTTGAAGGGTAATTGAAAAGTTATGAAAGGAGTATTGTCTAAAAAAAAAAAAAAAAACTCTAAGTGCTTTGCTTAGTAATTTTCATTTCTTCCTTGGGTGCAGCTCATTCACCCTGGGACTCTTTCAAGTGATTTTTCTCTTTGGGCTCAGGTGAGGTGTCACATGACAAGGTTCCTTGGCACATTCTCAGCCCTCAAACCCTCGTTTCATCTATTGTTCTTACCTTTGACCTTGTTTTGAACTTGTTTCAACTATCAATCCTGTAGACCTGATTATGACCTTGACTCTTCTGACAATAGCTCTGGAATTCCCCCACTTCCTCCTTCCTCTTTCCAGCCCAATAAAAATAGAGAACAGGTTTACCAAGTCCACTGTCAGAGTTAGCAAACTGCTGCCTAAATCCATGATTCTCTGTGTGTCCATGTGTATCTCTCCTGACTGGAAAAGTATCCAGACACTACTAAGAGTGCTGAGGAAATTTTGGGTTTAATCAATGGAAGAATTAAAAATACAGGGGATGGGGAGAAGGCTTGTGCTTGCCTCACAAGCATGAGAACCCAAGTTCAATCCCCAGAACCAACGAAGAAAAAAAAATTAAGGTGGTATATGCTTGTTATCCCAGCGCTGGGAGGCAGAGACCGGTACCCTGGAACTCACTGACTAGACCAAACTGGCCTAACCATGGAGCCCCAGGCCAGTGAGAGACCAGGTCTCCAAAAAACAAGGTAGACAGTACCTAAGGAGGAATGACGCAAAGTTGTCAACTGGTCCACACACACACACACACACACACACACACACACACACACACACATATGCATCCTCACACACTGGACATGCTCCCCCAAACACACTAAGAATCCAGAAGTGGGGATGGCTTAGGATATAGCTCAGTCAGTAGAACGTTTATCTTCATACCCATGCATGAAACCTATTCACACACACACACAACTATATAAATCAGGTATGGTGGGCACATGCGTGTAATCCTAGCTAGCACTCAGCAGATGGAGGTAAGAAAATCTGAAGTTCAAGGTCATCCTCAGCTGCATAACAACCAGCCTGGGTTACAGGAGAGTCTTTTTTTTTTTTTTTTGGTTTTTCGAGACAGGGTTTCTCTGTGTAGCTTTGCGCCTCTCCTGGAACTCACTTGGTAGCCCAGGCTGGCCTCGAACTCACAGAGATCCGCCTGGCTCTGCCTCCCGAGTGCTGGGATTAAAGGCGTGCGCCACCGCCGCCCGGTTTTGTTTTGTTTTTTTTTTAACTACAAAACTTAGGACCTGAAGCCGAGGCAGGCAGATCTCTGTGAGTTCAAGGCTAGCCTGGTCTACAGAGCGAGTTCTGGGACAGGCTCCAAGGCTACACTGGGAAACCCTGTCTCAAAAACAAACAAACAAAAATCAACTTTGGACCTGATTGTTGAACTATGATTGTTGAAATTGACTGTAGCACAATTAACTACCTAGGAGAGATTTCTGCCTCTTTTTTCCACTGTTCCTCCCACTCACTTCAGGGCTGAGGGTGGAACCCAAGTTCTCATGCATGCTAGGAAAGTTATCTTCCACTGAGCAACACTCCCAGCCAAGAGAAATTTCTTAGTAAGTTCTTCTAAATTATATAAATGAAAAACGGCCTTGGATTCACACCCATCTTTCTGTCTTGACCTGTTGGGTACTGGGATTACGGGCTTGTGCCGACACCTGGCTCTCGCACTCACTAGATAGCCTGGGCTGGTCATAGACTTACAGCGATTCTCTTGCCTTTCCTTCACAAATTCTGGTATCACAACCAGGAACCACATACGATTTCTAAAACACATGAATTTGGGGTGTCTTTCAGTTGCCCCCAGAACAAAGTCCTGATTCATAGGCTTTCTATGTAGTCTCCTACAGGCCCAGGCCCCTGGTTATTATTTGGGGTCATTTTCCATCTTGCAGCCAAATCCCAGCAAAATATTGCTGTCTGCACTAAATACACATCAGCGGGTGTGGAGTTGTGTGTGAAAGGAGGGGGCGGTTTCGGGTAGGTAGTAAAAGGGATATTTGTAAGTGGTCCCCTCTTGGAGGCCGGCAATGGGGTGTCTCCAAACATTTTTTCCTATCTAACATCACACTGTTAGTTCCCGGGAGCTGCTCAAGTGCCCTTTGTGTCACATGACTTGGACTCTTGTTTTCCTTCTGCATTTTCTTAGGTCCCGTGGGTTCTCCAGTCCCAGGGGCGGCGCCTGTCGCTCCTGGCCCAGCCCCTAGGCTCGGGTTACATGGGCTTGGCCGGGGCGGGGACTGCTCCATCACTGCCCAGCAGGCCGAGAGCTGCGGAATCGGTGGCCTAACGATCGCCGGGATCGAGCCCAGCTTCCCGCGCGCCCACGTGACCCTTCGATTGTCACGCGGGCGCCGCTCACCTGACCGGGGTCTAACGTGGGCTCAGCCTGCTGGGAGGGAGCTCGCCGGTGGGCCATGGCAGGCTGCAGGCTCTGGGTTTCGCTGCTGCTGGCGGCGGCGTTGGCTTGCTCGGCCACGGCGCTGTGGCCCTGGCCCCAGTACATCCAAACCTACCACCGGCGCTACACGCTGTACCCCAACAACTTCCAGTTCCGGTACCATGCCGGTTCGGCCGCTCAGGCGGGTTGCGTCGTCCTCGACGAGGCCTTTCGACGCTACCGTAACCTGCTCTTCGGTTCCGGCTCTTGGCCCCGACCCAACTTCGCAAGTGAGTCACAGCCTCTTCTTCCGTCCGAAGGAGCGGCCTTCCGTGGATCAGCCCCGGCCCGGCTGTCAGACTTTCTCCCCTTGGCTTCTGCCGAGCCCAGGCAGTCCCCTCCCACGCCCCCTCTCCCCTTGCTTTTTCTCTAGCCGACTATACAGCCTCCCTAGCCGAGCCCCCTCTCCACTCACCCCTTTATTAATCTGACTTCTGAGGGTCACAGTTTATCCTGAATCTTTCTCTTGAGCTGTAGGTTTTCATTTTTTAAAATGCCTGCTGTAGGAAAGACCATGGTTCAATCAGACTGTCAAAGTATTGAAAATACGTGGCCAATAGACATGTAAGATGATTCTTTAGGTCATGCTCAGGTGGTACTGCGTCCCTGTTGAGGCAGTGACCAGGGCTGTATAGTGGAGCTCAGCATGCATCTGGCACCTGAGTTGGTTAGCACATGTTTCAGTTGTGAGAGAAATCATTAGGACACAAGGCAGTGAGCTTCCAGGGACCAGGCAGAGGCCACTTGGGACCAAACCGAAAGTTTGGTAGGGCCTGACACTGATAAACTGGTGGATGTGGGGAGTGGCATGGGGTGGAACTGAGCAGTGTTGGAATGCCTGTCCCTGGGTACTTAGCTGCTAAGCAGAGCAAGCTTGCCCCTTCCCCAGCCCTGTTGTTCTAGAATGAAAGTAAGATAGATAGCTGGTTCTTCTGCAGCCAGTACCAGTATGTGACTTGTTCACCCCTGGGTAGCAAACAAATGACGGTTAGTAAGCCACATAAGCCATTAGAGTCTGAATCTTCTAAAGGGCCGCCTTTGGCCACTTCTTCCCTAACTGTCCCTGTATGGTAGTGGGTTTAGCGAGCTTGTTGGTTCTGTTGTGTTAAAGGACTGCTCTTTACTCCTCTCATTGCTGTGACCAAAAAAAGGCTTTATTATGGCTCACCATCAGAGGAAGTAGTCCATCATGAGAGCATGGGAGCCTGAGCTTGAGGCAGCTTATCACGTTGTGCAACAGCCAAGGAGCAAAGAAAAGAAGACTTTTCCATTTTCCCTCTTCTTTCAGCACATAAGACCATGCCATCCACAGTTAGGGTGGGTCTTTCTTCCTTAGTTAAAACTGTCTCTAGAAGCACCCTCCCAGACACACAGCCATACAGGATTTATCATCCCAATTTGTAATCTCAACCCAGGCTGCTCTTGTCACAGAATTGGAAATGCAAAATGCATCTTGAAAATATAGGAAGGAAACAGCTGGGGTCAGGCAGCCAGGCTGGGAAGGAACTCTCCACTCTAGGATTGGGGGTGCTGCTCAGTTATGAGAGTGCAGTAGTCCCTGGGTTCAGTAGCCTGCATCTCATAAAACCTTGGGAAGTAGAGCCGGGAAGATCAAGAGTTCAAGGTCATCTTTAGCTACATGATGAATTTTAGGCCATTTGGGGCTGACAGAGACCCTATTTCAAAGCAAGCAAACGAACTCTCCTGATGGTATTCTTGGAGAACACCAAGTTGCCTTTAAGGTTACTGTTTTCAAAGAGGAAGAAAGTTTTATGATGCCGTTTATAGTGGGGTATGTGGAGGATGGAGTGGTACATAGTGAAAAATAATGATGAAAATGTCTTTGGAGAGGAGGTAGGTACTAGGATCAACTGTATTTGGATGAGGGCCAAAAGTATGCATTTCTCTATTATATATTTCATTTTGAACTCTGGGGGCCATGGGTTAGTTTTGCCCATAGTCTTCAACAGGCTGGGTGGCTCTCCTTACTACCTAAATCATAGTGATTTCACAATAATCCTGGTGAATTCTGCACCTGAGAAGCTCAGCTTCCTAGTGTGTGTATACTTTGGGCCTAGTGTATGACATCTTCGAGTCTTGTTTCTCTGAGCTAGACTTGCTCTTCCTACCTTTTGGATATTGTGCGTGAAGTCTGTGTGCTTCGGAGGATCTGGAATATGAAACAGGATATATTCATTACTCATCCAAGGAATGCTTAGGAACCTAATTTCCAGACTTGCTACTTCCTCATGCCACCCCACCCTCCCTCCCCACCCCCGTGTGTGTGTGTGTGTGTGTGTGTGTGTGTGTGTGTGTGTGTGTGTGTGAGCTCGGGGGTTTGGTTTTCTATCTTCAGCACTTGGAGCCATTCAGGGATTAATAAAACAACAAAAATAGCTGTGAATGGCATTGCACTCTCTGAAGGAGGGTGTAATAGTGGGGAGGACTTGATGTTTGAAATAAGATGGAGTTGAAGCTGCCGCTCAGCAGTAGATTACTTACATGTACAAATTTCTGGGTCTGACCCTCAACAGAATACTGAAGGAGAAAAAAATAATTAAAGAGGAAAAAAAAAATAGAGATGGCCCCGAGGTGCCTTTCTTCCCATTCCTTACTCTATACTTTATTCCAGACCAAAAGTAAAGGAGGGAGGGCATGGGCGGGTTGACCAGCCGAACCTGTTCACTGTCTTGGGTACATGGTCTCATGCTTGGGCATGTTGTAGCTTTTCTCGATTGTTAAAAGTCAGAGATTTTGATTTCCCTCACCCTCAAGAAAATGTTTAAACTAAATGCCAGGAATTGTAGCACATGCATTAATCTCAGCGCCCAGGAGACAGAGGCGGGCAGATGTCTGTGTGTTTTAGGCCAGCCTGGTTTGTGTAGTGTGGTCCAAGCCAGCCAGTCTACTTAGTGAGATGGTGTCTCTAAATAATTAAGTGTTTAACCAGTCTGATTAGGAGCGCTTTCTTCCACCACTGTGGAACTGTTGACAACCAGAGCAGCTCAAAAGAATCAGTTGGGTGTGTAGATGTGAAAAGTGTGTCCACATGTAAAGAGTTTTTGTCACCTGCTTCAAGGTCACAGAAATCCACTCTAAGAAACATTGGATTTTCTTCTCTGTTCCTAACTGTAGCAAATACCACCAATGCTCGGGGAGGTGTTCTCTCTGGTTTTTGTTATCATTGTTTTGTTTTCTGGCAGCTGTCTTTAAGTTGTGACTAAGTTTCCCCAGCTGACTATCGTGGCCCCTTGGTTGGGCTTGGGCATGGCTGAAGGTCCTTTTTTGGACATGTGTTCTCTAGTGCCAGAGGTAGGGTGCTCAGCAGCTCAGCAGTCAGACGCAGCCTGTTACTTTTGTAAAAATTATAGGGGTGGAGATGGGGAAGCCTGCTTACCAGACCCAGTGCTACCTTAACAAGGACTGTGGGGGTCCAGCCCCTCGATAGTCCCCTCCCAGGGTCCGGGAAGAATCTACAGCCAGCTGATAATTTAATCTTTGATGAAAAGAAATGAATCTAGGTACACAAAACTCCTTAGTCCATACACTTCATTATTCTGAGTCAGTTCTCTACACAGCTTCTATTCTGCTCTCATGCCTAGTCCCTTTCTTGCCTGATTTATCTCTACCTTTATCTGCTGTCCCCTCTAAGTTCTATCTTAATTCCTTCATCTTAATTCTGCCCCATCTAGGATATCATCCATCTAGTTCTTTTCCATCTCAGCTCCTCTTCCATCTCCTTCTCTCTCATCCTGTTCTTATTCATCTTGTTATTTCCTGTCTGGCTCTTCCTCATCTTCCATCTTGTTCCTTTTAGCCCTTTAATCTAATTCTTCCCCATCTAGTTCATTCCTCTCCGGTTCTTACCCATCTAGTTCTTCTGTTCTCTTTTCTCCGTCTCATCCTCAAGTTCTCTAGTCAAAATCCTCCTTCTCCCTCTCAGTTCTCTGTCCTCTCCTAGTCTCCTTATTCTCTCAGTTCCCCCCAAGTCTCTCAGAAATCCAGTTATAAACCCAAGCAATAGCAATCCTCTGGCCAAGCAAGGTCACCAGGCTTGAATTCTTACAGGGTCATAAAGGCAGGTAAGAATTTTTTTCAAGCAGTGACCTCAGGCTTTCTTTTGCAACCCAAAATGAGAATGGTAAAGGAGGAGGTCAATAGAGAGCTAATGATCGGTTAGTATATCAAGAAGGGAATATAAGTGCTCAATCTACATTCCTAGAAGTGGTTAGGTAAGAAATTAGGAGTCTGTTAGTAAGGATCTCACCCTAAATTGCACAAGAAATAAAGCTATCCGCCTGACCTAGGAGACAGGTGTTGTTTTGTTTGGCCTTGGATGCTTGATAGGCCTTTTAGATAAATACACTGTTAGGAGTTCTTGGAAGCACACAAGAAAATCATTTTAGGAACCAGCTAATATATGTATACAAAAGCTAAGTATCACCAAGACTTCTTAAGCCATGGCTTGACCTTTGGAGAAGTCCTTAACTTTTCCAAGTAGTAGCCTTTGTGATAGTAGCTGAATTCCATTACGTTGCAAGCGCTACCTCCCTACTGTTCCACCTTGGCTTCACAGTAATGTGCTCAGAGCTGTGTTCTTTTAGCAGGCCTAGGCTGAGCAAACAGAGTTCAAGTCCACGTCCTTTTGTATGTTGAAATTGTCAGACTGTTCGCCATGTGTGCCTTCACACGATGGTGGAAGAAGCCCTTGAAAAGTGGTTGTTACACTCTAAGGCACCCACCCCAGGACTCCTCTGGGTAAGCGCCACACAGGGGGGTTTGCTGTGGCAAGACTGACTTAGTGAAGGGCAGTGGAAAGGGGAAGGAAGCGAGCATGTATGAATGGTGGCACTTAAGATGTCTCGTCAGCCAGTTCTGTGGGGTGCTTAGTTCTGTTTTCAGAACTGAGCCTTGAAGGCCAGTGTTAAACAGTGCATGGCTGTGGTAGAGGATTCCATCTAGATCTGTCTGCCTACCAAGATTTCCTCCTTCACTGCATTCTGCAGTGCTCATAAAGATCTTTGTCAGGACAGTTA